CGCCACAGCATGGCTGCACAAGCAGTGTGTCAGTGCGCGCCTGGGATCTGAACTTGGGAACCCAGGGCTGCTGAAGCAGAGCGCACGCACTTAACCACTACGCCACACGAGAGAAATGGATTCTTAAAAATTATTATTTATTTTATATCTTCTGGAAAGCATTTGAAGTTGACTGGAGTAGGACAAGAATGAGATGGTGGTAGAAATAAGTAAATGTCCATTAGTTCATAGGATTTGATAGGGAAACACTGTTAAATACTAGTGACTTCTCTGAAGTGTTTTACACTAATCACATTGCTTTTATTGAAATTCTTTTCCTTTGGCTTCCATGGGATCCCTTTTTCCTAGATATATTTCTGATCTTTCCTTTTCTATTTTTTCTTGCACAGTCTTCCTTCTCTTTTCCTCTCTTAAATATTGTTGTTCCCAAGGTTCTTTTCTTCATTTCTTTTTATGCTATTGCTTGTATCTAGGTTACTTTGTCTATTCATATTTTCAGTTTCTCCCTGTAGAATGATGATGTCCATATTAATACTGCCAGATCACCTTGCACCCAAACAAGTATAAATTGAATTCATTCCTGATCTGTCCCTTACCACCCACAATCTGTTCCTCTGATTTTGTTCCTAATCTAGACTAAAATACTACTGTCTGCCCAGTAAGCCAGGCCAGATAGCTGTCAAACGTAAAATGATTAATATAATGTATCATCCAAACTGAGACTGTTTTGAGAGTAAAAGGGAGCTCTAATAATAGCTACTCCAAGAGGATAGGTATAAATCAGGACCGTCCATGCAAACTAGGATATATGGTCACCCTGGTCTTAGAGTAACTCCTTCTTACATTCCATATCCATTTAGTCAAAGCCCTGTCTGTTCTACTGCTTTGCTGTCTCTCAACTTGATCCCACTGGCATTGCTGTAATTTATACCCTTATTTTTTTCTCAGGTGGATTACCCCAGTAGATCAAATGGTCTCCCTGATGCTCCTCTTCTCTATTCCTCTATTCCAGCTTGGCAGAGTGATATTTTAAAATGTATGTCTGCTCAAGTTATGCTCTTAAGTCCTTCAATGATTCCCCACTGCATTCATAGTGAAATGCCAAGTTCCTTGTGTCTCATACAAGACCAGTTGATAATAGTGCAGAGGCAAGAAAGGAACTCAGTTTTATCTCAGCCTGTCTCCAAACACAAGCTAAGCTCTAACAATAATGAAAATCGTCTTGCTCTCACCTTTTTGCTTTGACTTAAGCTCTTCTTCCAATATTTTAATACCCCTCCCTCCTTCCTGCTCTGCTTGGCTGATTCCTACTTGTCCAAGAAAACTACTCAAGCATCACCTCCTCCAGAAAGCTACAAAATTCCCATGCTGCATATCATGTATTTATCATAGTTTTATAATTAGCGGTTTATCTTTTTTATTTTTCCATTTCTATATCTCTAAAGACCTATTTAAATGTTTGCTGAATAAATTAGTCTGTATTGTCACATAATTTTCCCTTATTCAATTGCAAATGTATTAAATGTACTTTAGAAGCCACTTCCTACCTCATGTTTTCAAGTTGGTTGACTGAGATTGAGGCACAGTATATGGCCATGAACAAAGGACAGGTAATTGACGACATAGGGAAGCAAACTTCTGACTTATTAGTTCACCACACTAAAAACCTAACTAACCAGCCATAGATGTAGCAATTACGTGACTCCAAATTTAAGTTTCTTTTGAAGATAGCCTACATTAAACCAATTAAAAATATGAAATACATACTGAATGCTTTTAAATATGGGAAAATAGACCTAATTGATAACCCTAGTTAGAAAAAATACTGTTTTTGCTTTTCTGAACCATACAGTAGAAACCTACAGTGACTGTTTTTATTCAGTGCTACAGTTCATGCCTAGAGGTATTAATATTTCACAAAACTCTTAGCCTAGCTTTTAAAATAAATGAGAATTCTCTTCATTTTGAGTAGTAAATATTTGTTAAAGGCTAAATATAAGCTATATACTTTTTTCTTAATTTTTTTCATGTGAGTATAAATCATCCATCACTAAAATTTTATAGAAAAACTATTAAAAATGAAAACAATGGAGTAGAAGATATATGGTCAGATAATATTTTATTCTTTTTCATTGAAAAGGATATATGAAATAAACCATTTGAATATCATTCTAAACACTGGTGAGTGCATGTGGTTTGAAGGAAATAATGAGAGGGTTGTTCTTCTCTTTGATCAACTACTAGCACATGTGTGGTCTAGAGTAGAGATTCTTAACTTCTTTGGGTCACATACTCCTGAGAATTTGAAAGCATACAATATCTGTTTCATAGTCTGGTTTAAAGCCCATGGGAAAATGTTTTCCTTGTGCTTACAGAATAAACATTCCTTGGCTTAATGTCATCTTGACTTAATATCTAATACTTGTTATGTACCAGCCCTTGTTCCTGAGTTATTCAGGGTAAGGTGAAAACAAAGATGCAGACAACTCTATCACAATATATTGTGCTATAATAAAAGTATTTTCAATAAAATTCTGTACAAGCACGTAGGCAGGAGGTTAATTATTACTAAGGAGGAGGGCTTCACTAAGGAGTTGTCATTTGAGCTGAACCTTCAAGAATAAGGTAGTTGACCAGGTAGATTGAAGGCTTTTGCCTCAGCTACAAGGAACCTTTCCCTCCTCTGCATTTCCTGAGTACTCTGATTGTACCTCTGATAGCAATTTGTGTTCTACCTTCTAGTTTATGCATATATTTTTTTTTCCTTACCATCTCTTAGAAGATTAAATTTTTTCAAGCCTGTTGACATGTCTTGTTCAATTTCATATATGCATACATGCCCTGTGTCCTGAACATATATGCCACTTATTAAATGTTTATTGTCTTGAATCCAATTGAGCATGAATCCATTCCTCTATAACTTAGGTGTTATTGCAGCTAAACAATTTTTGAATTGCCTAGTGGAATAACTAGGAAGTTGACTAAGCTTTGAAAAGAAGGGCTCTCTTAACCTAGTATAATAATATAAAAAGTCAAATCACTAATTTTTCTATTTTTTCCATATATTTATTAAAAGTAAAAGTAGAGGGGCCAGCCCAGGGGCCTAGCGGTTAAGTTCGCGCACTCTACATTGGCGGGCCAGGGTTCACAGGTTTGGATTCCGGGCGCAGACCAACGCACCACTTGTCAAGCCATGCTGTGGTGGTGTCCCGTATAAAGTAGAGAAAGAGCACGGATGTTAGCCCAGGGCTAATCTTCCTCACACACACACACAAAAAGTTAAAGTAGAAAAAAATGACATCACATCTTGACTTTGATTGGGAAAAACTGTTTCATGATAATGTTTAGGCTTTATTCTGTTATCAGTGCCTCAGACAGTGATCCTGCAAAGAACCACTACCTGTCAACCTAAGTGGGCATTATAATCCCAAGGAAGGCAAATCTAGTATACATTGCTTATTTCCTGATTAACCACAGAATTACATGTTTAAATATATCACTGGACAGAATGGCTTTTAGTAATTTTTTTACTTTGATTTATAAAAACTAATTTCAAGGGAAACACTGTGAGGCACAGTGGTGATTTTAAAAGTGAATTGAGGCCGGCCCTGTGGCTTGGAGGTTAAGTGTGCGCTCTCCGCCGCTGGTGGCCCAGGTTCGGATCCCGGGCACGCACCAATGCACCGCTTCTCAGGCCATGCTGAGGCCGTATCCCACATACAGCAACTAGAAGGATGTGCAGCTATAACATACAACTATCTACGGGGGTTTGGGGGGGGAAATAAATAAACAAATAAAATTATTTTAAAAAAAAAGTGAATTGAGTTGAACATTATACCTATTACATCAACCTATCTTTGTTGCTTTGGAAGAGAACTATTGAGACAAAGACAGTCCTAATATTAAATATTTTCAAAACCATTTTCCCCTGATACAGAGCTTTTTATTATTATTTACCAATTTGTATGTTTTTATCATTTTATAAGTATCATCAGATTTACTAATATGACACTAAACTTTCCTACACATTGGGGAAAAGGTAATCCTATTTTCTAATAGGAAAGGTGTTAGAAAATGTGAATATAATGGTGTAAAGCTACCCTGATGTTACTTTTTATTTTCAATTTAAGAAGAGATGAAAACAGGTTACTTTTGGTTGACCTTTCACTGGTTTTCACCAAATAATATCTATATGCCCCTGGAAGTTTTATTTTACTGTGAAGAAACAGGCCACAGCCTTTCACAATAATATGAAAGCTTAAAACTTGAGCTCATTAAGTTAAATCACACACTCTGTCACAAACAGACTGGAACTATCTTAATGCTTAATGACAAATACTAATTTTGTATTTGATATTGATTGTATATCTCCTTGTTTGTTTTCCAGGGGATGTACGTATTTTTGCATGCTGTAAAAGGAACACCATTTGAAACTCCTGACCAGGGTAAAGCAAGGCTCTTAACTCACTGGGAACAACTGGACTATGGAGTGCAGTTTACGTCTTCACGGAAGTTTTTCACAATTTCTCCAATAATTCTGTAAGTGGTGGAAATTTTTAGGGATAAGGAACATTGGATGAAAGGAAGCTATCCTTTTATTAGAATGAATTTGAATTAGAACCAGAATATTTTGTTGAAAATCTCTGTCAATAAATAGCTACCTCAGGTAGACTATAAAATACAGGCAAAATTTTTAATAAGCTGGTAATAAACCAGTTTTCACTTCAGGCGATAGCATACGGAGACAACATTACATGCTTATCAGTATGCCTAGACATCCTAGGATATACAGGTCAAATATATTGTAGTTCATGTCCTTAAATTGCTTATAAGAAAACTAAACACATAATCTTATTCCATATTCCACTATAAGACTAATCTCCCTAAATAAGGATTTGGATGATTACAGATGAATTTCATTTTCCACCTGCCCCATTTGGATGTTCAGACTCCTTGCGAGAGACAGTATGGTTTAGAGAAAAGAGGGGTTAGGCCTTCATTGTAGGACGGACTTGGGTTGAATCCTGTATCCATCACTCAGCCACCTTGCTCATAAATAAAATTCTAGCCAGTGGTACCTAACTCAATCTGATGCTGTAAGAAATAAATGAGATAATATTTATTTGTGAGGCATCTAACCTTGTATCTGGTATCTAACTTCTTCCCATTACCTGATATTCAGGGCCCTCCACAAAATGGTACCACCTCATTTTTCCTTTATGTGAATATTTTACTCGCACTCAACTCCCATCTGATCAAGCTCTTCTAAGCAGCATTTCTTGAATACTCCATGTATAGTCCTATTTCTTTGCTTTTGTTCAAATCATTTCTCTTACCTGAAATAGCTTCTCCTTTCTTAATTTATCTGCCTTACTCTTCTTTTAGGATTTAAATTCTACCTCCTCAGTGAGATCTTTTCCTTAGCACCCAACCTTCAGTGATAATGGTCTGCTTTGAACTCCCATGGTAGTTGGATGTGTATATATCCCTCATTTATGCCACTTTGTAATATTTCTCTGTTATTATAAGTGTTTTATTTCTGCAAAGAATTTCTAAGTGCATAGATTGCTTTGAATTCCACACTTAGTACAGTTGCTTGCATATCATAGATGTTTTATATATATCTTAAACATTCTATACCACATAGCTTATACATAATAATATATACATGATACAATCAGTGCAGTCTGGAGTAGCTAGAAAGACTTCTTGGAAGCATTAGAATTCCTTAAACTGGGACTTAAATGAGGGTAGGTTTCAGATGTTTAAGTAAGGGAAGGCATTGATCATAAAGTGGTAAGTTTCTTTTTCCTTATATTTATAGCACTTTGAGGAAATTTTTTAAATTTTTAATTGTTTTAGCCCCTTATAAAATTAACATCAAAAGAAAAATGATTTGTATGGTCCAACAAAGATAAATGTGATAACAAGAATAATGGTTATTCAAAGATCCCTAAATTTGGATTTTAGCTCTATTGCTTTCCAGCTATGTGACTGTAGGCCATTTTCTTGAACGCCTCAGTTGCCTCATCTATAAATGTTCAGGATTGCATTATAATACATGTAAAAAGCCTAACATATAATGAATTTTCAATGAGAGCTATCACAAAAAGGTCAACTAAAATGTGCGTGTGTACAACATCTATATTTCTAAAAATATATTTTTGACCCACAGGGATGATTTCAAATATTCTGTGACTAAATTTCTTAGATAACTGAAGAAACAGCATTAACGTCATCTACATAGCATTCATACTTTTCAGAGTGCTTTCACATTTTCTTATTTGATCATCACTTTTCAGGTAGGTGGGACTTGCAATATTATCCTGGATTTTTAGATAAAGAAACAGACTCAACTGCCTCACCTTGTTCCAGATGTTGCAGCTAGTTGGAGTCAAGAGCCCAGGTTAAATCCTAAACTACTAGCTTCTAATACAGATCTCTTTCTAGTATACCCTTTGGTGAATAAACGCTGTCACACTGATTGCCACCTGGGTTTTGCATCCCCTTGGAGGGTTGTTTAGTTTTTTGTAAGAGTCAAGTAATTTTCATATAATCTGCACACACAATTAGTTTTCATTAAAAGACATAAAGGGGACATATGCTACGGTATGATAAGGAGAAGCCATTCCAAGAAGAGGTATTACTTCCAACATATCAGATTTTAGATTAAACCTATAACGATGATGAGAAATCAAATGAGTTTACTAAATGCAAGTAGTAACCTATTTTGTTCAGTGAAGGAAATATGAAAACAGTCTTCAAGTATGTGAAAGCGGGAAGAAAGGGTTTAAAGGAAAGATTGAGGAATATGGTTTATTGTCAAGAAAGAATTTTCTGACTGTAGTTGGTGAAATAGGTGGAAGCTTATAGAAGTTCTCAATTTAGATGGTTCAGAAAATGATGTAGACAGCTCTGTGATGTTTTAATTGTACTTGCAAATAGCTGTTCTCTTCTAACCATGTTACACAAGATATTTATCTCCCCTCATGAGAAACTAATGACAGTATTTGGAGGAAAGGCTATTAGAATACTTTCCAGTGTACTCGAAAAGTACTAATTAGACCAACACCCATATGCACACTAATTTCTTAGATATGATCACATAAGGTATGATGTTTTATTCTTTACATCCTATCTATGTTACAATACTGTTTTAGTGGCCAGATGATGTGTCTGCACTCTGCTATACCCTGGGGTAAAACTAGACATTCCAACTCGATGATTTATCATCTTAAAGGTAGCTTAGGCTTGTTAAAACAAATTCTCAGATGTTGGATGTCTTTGAAGATGTACAATGTACGTACGCTCAGTTATAGCAAAACAGCTGGAATTTTACAATAGTATCTTTCAAGTTTCCAGTTAAACTGGTTATAGACCTGTTTTAACTACAATATGGAAATGAGAACATCAGAAGGGCAACCAAGTATTTATTTTCTTTCAAAGACACTAAATTGTACTAATGCACTAAACCTCAGTTTTCACAGCTTTACAGCAGTGGTTCTTAAACGTTTTGGTGAGTCACAAAACCCTTTGAGAATATGATGGATACTTTGGATCTGGATCTTCTCTTCAGAAACATACACACGAATACAAAACTACACCTGAAATTTCAGGGAGCATATGAATCTTAGTTTGAAAGCCTTTTGCTTTAAAGGATGCTAAGTGGCAAACGTATTCTATTAAATGCATTTAACATAATTATAGAAATGCAAAATGTGCAGATATGCCTCTCCATTAAACAAAATTTTAAATCCCAAATAAAATTAGTTTAGGTCCCCAAACTAAAATGTTTCCTCTTGTTTTAGCATTCAAAAATAGTTCTGCTTTAGGTATTTATGTTTCAGTGGCCTTTTTTCTACCTTTAAATTTTTAAAAAATTCTAAGTAATTTATTTTTAGATGTTACGTATATTCTTAACTTTTATTTCTGCAGATATTTTCTGGCAAGTTTTTATACGAAGTATGATCCAACTCACTTCATCCTAAACACGGCTTCTCTTCTGAGTGTGCTGATTCCCAAAATGCCACAGCTACATGGTGTTCGGATCTTTGGAATTAATAAGTATTGAAATGTTTTGAAACTAAACAAAAATTTTTGCAGGTACTGAGTTTCCTGTAAGGAAGGAGTGGTTAGTAAACTGCACTGTTTCTGTGATAATGTGAAATGAGAAGTATTTACATTGGAGGTCCAATTGGTGGTTCTTCATGTGCAGTCTTAAAGTGCAGATTTTTACTAGAAGATGCCTCTGTTTAATGCATCTGGTATATTTCTGAAGAGGGGCTTTATAGGCAGGCTGGGCAGGCCCAGCTTATAAGTTAAATGGCTATAAAGTGAGGGTGTAGTAGATAAATCCAAGGAAATGAGAGATTTATAAGAAACTGAGACCAGCTAAGCTTATAACAAATGGGCATTATGTTAGGAGAAGAAAATTTCCAATCATTCAGTCCTGGTCAGTTTAAGCAGACTTATTTGTAAACCAGAATCATCTCTTTGCAAGTTTATTATAGATTGTTTTTATTACCGTATGTATTCCTCTTGTGTTATATAAGAGGATATGTACCCTCTTGTTTTATACAGGCCAATTTCTACCTTATGAGTATACTTTTTTGGTTTTGCTGGCTCAACATTGTGTGTTGATAGATGAGGTCATTTTTACATGTATTAAGTTACTGAGTTCATGAAGGTCCACTTTCATGACTGATTGGTGATAGAAGATAGCCAGGCATCTTACAAACAGCTCTGAGTCAGCCTTCTAATTTTGGAACAAAGTGGGTTTTGCTGCCTCTCTAGACACAAGGCTGCTAAACCAATTAAGAAAATAATTTATTTCATGCAGTTAAAGTATATGGTAATTTAAAGGTCTCTGCTTATTTGGTTGTGCAATCTAATTGTTAAAGTCTGCCATTCTTTCGAAAAGGAAATACTAAAATGGACAACTATATAGCCAACCTGTGGTCTGGCAGAAACTGCTTCTCTAGCAATAGTACCACAGTAAATAATGGAGTCTTTTTTAGCAGATCTGCAGTAAAAGATAACCTTGTCTCTTCTCAGTCCTCTTGCTCTCAATCCCCATATTTTGCCCATTAATATTTTGCCTTTCAATACATGAGTCTTAGTGTAGATAACCCAAAATCGTAACTATTTCCAAAGCAGCAACCATATTGAATTCTTGTGACTTAGAGAATCTATTAGTTGCTGACATTAATTGCAAGAAATAACTATATACTACTTTGAGAAGTAAATATGTCAAAAAAACAAAATTCTGATATGGGATGAAACTGAAAAACCTAGTAACATATGTAAACAAAACTGAATGAAAAGAGTTACAAACCAATTTAAAAATCAGTTTGTTTCAATAAACTGACTTTTGGGGGTAATGATCATTGTTTTGTATTTCAAAAGTATTGAGTTTGGAAATCAGTTGTATGATAATGCCTTTGTATGTTTGTTTTTTCCCATGTATTTTTAAATAACCAGTAATCTATACTTTAATAAAATTTTTCTTTGGTGTAAGATGACTCCAAATTCAGTCATCAAAGTTATACTTACATTTTTCAAGTTTTTTTAAGTAACTGAATTTGTAAAATTAAGGTAGTTAAAAATATTCCTTTGTTTTTCTTCATGTTAAAGTTTATCTCAAAAGGCTTATATTTTTTGCACAGATTTCAGAGATAGAAATCTGCCTCTGATACAGGCCTTCTACTATTTTCTGCTTTTGCCCTTCAACGTTTTAAAAATATTTATTCTGTAAGTATTTGAGGGCCCACTCCGTTGTAGGTATTGTTTTAGGTATTGTGGACTTAGTTTGTAAACAAGACAAACCAAGTCCTTTCCCTTATGTGCTTACATTCAAGTTGGAGAATAGATAATAAATGAGTTAACAATATGTTTTATGTCATGTAGTGAAAAATGCCATGGGAAAAGAAAAATTCAGCAGGTGAAGGGCAGAGGAGCCTGCCTCAGAAAGCTCTTCCCTCAAGATCCTAACTAAGATGACATTTGGACAGAGACCTTACTGATGTAAAGGAGCAAGCTCCTGGGGAAAGATCTGGGGATAGAGGCTTCCCAGTACAGGTAATGACAAATATTAAGGCTCTGGGGCAGGAATGAGGGTGAGATGTTTGAGGAAAAACAAGATAGCCATGGGGGCTAGAAAGGAGTAATAAGCAAGGAGGATGAGAATGGTAGCAAATGAGGTCAGAGAAGTAGGTAGGGGTCAGATCATATAGGGCTTTATAGACCAAGGTAGTGAGCAAATTTTATTCTAAGCTTGACAAAGCCATTGGAGAGTTTCACACAGATTAAAGGGATCTGATTTTTTTTTTTTTTTGGTGAGGAAGATCAGCTCTGAGCTAATATCTATTGCCAATCCTCCTCCTTTCCCCTGCCCACCAAAGCCCCAGTAGATAGTTGTATGTCATAGTTGCACATCCTTCTAGTTGCTGTATGTGGGACTCAGCCTCAGCATGGCTGGAGAAGCGGTGCATCGGTGCATGCCCAGAGTCCGAACCCAGGCCGCCAGTAGCGGAGTGCGCGCACTTAACTGCTAAGCCACGGGGCTGGCCCATCTGTTTTTTTTTTTTTAAAGGTTACCAGCTAATGTGGAGAACAAACTGTAAGGAAATAGGAAGCAGGAAGAATAACTGGGAAGCAACTACAGGCAAGAAGTAGCTCAGACTAGGGAAATAGCTGATGAAGTGGTCAGATGTGGGATATACTTTACACATACAGCTCACAAGACACTGATGTTTTGAATGTGGGATGGGAGCAGGGAACTAAAATGACTCCTAGTTTTTTGGCCTTAACATCTAGGTGAATGGTTGTGTTAAATATGGAAACTGTTCCCAGTTTCACAAATTTGTACAGTTTAAATTAAAAAAAAAAAACCTGTGTTTTTTTTAAAACAAATTCTATAATGATTATTATTTGGAACAAAATCAGTTGCTATGCTATAATTGCTCCTAATTTCAAGGCAGGACACATAATGGCAATTTCTAAAATAGGCATGAGCTCAGAAATCTCATTAATTTTAACTTTCATTGGTGAATCTTTCCTGCAGCAGTTATTACTGTGGATTTCCAATGGTCGTTTTCTATTTCCCTCATTCCTTCTACATTTATTTATAGGAATTCTTCTGTAAAGAAGGTTTTTCCCTTTTCCTCAATTTATTTATTCAATCTTTGCATTATTATGGACTAATGGATATTTTATTCTTTGGTTTATAATCCATTATTATTAATATGTTGCTCCAATTGTCCTCCAGCTTTGGCTATTAGAAGCCAAAGTTCCCAATGGAACTTTCCAAGTTGACTCCTGTGTTCTTTGACCTGCCCCATCCTTGGTTTTTTTAAGCATAGAACTGTATCTTTTAGGTTTATGGCACTATTATCTATTAAACTATCAGGATCCTAAGGGGAGTAACAATATGTCCTTAACAAACTTTATCTGTGTAAATCAGCCTTATAGAGCTATATGACACTAAGAGTTGGGAAAGACCATAGAGGCTATGTAATTCAACCCCCTACCTTACCTTGAATTTTTGTTAACCACCATTCCTCCATTCAGTTCTGTGTTAGCTCCAATAAAGGATACAAATACAACTTACAAGGCTGCACTTTTGTAATGGAATTTATAACTTGTTTTACATTGAGCCAAAATCTAATCCTTATTCTATATAACTCTTCAACTATTTAAAGATAAGTTTTAAACTGTTATTAATAGCACTGAATAAACATTACCAGAGGCTTCACCATTTTCCATATGATACGGTTTCAAATTTCTCCCACTATCCTGGTAATTCTGCTCTCAACATAGCATGAGAGCTAACTACAAGAGGTGATGAGATGTAATGTCACTACAACAGTCCTACTTCCCTTGTCCTGAATACTTTTTTTTAATGCAAACTAATATCATTTTAGCTATTTTTGTGTGTGTCAGGAAGATTAGCCCTGAGCTAACATCCGTTGCCAATCCTTCTCTTTTTTGCTGAGGGACATTGGCCCTGGGCTAACATCCATGCCCGTCTTCCTCTACTTTATATGGGATGCTGCCACAGCATGGCTTGACAAGCAGTGCGTCTGTCCATGCCTGGGATCCAAACCTGCGAACCCTGGGCCACCGGAAGCAGAGCGCTTGAACTTAACCGCTACGCCACCAGGCCGGCCCCCATTTTAGCTATTTTTGACAACCACATATCACTGATTCACTTTATGCTCACTAAAACCTCAAGTCTTCATCATGTAGTGCTGTTAAATGATGGCTTTCCCTTCATATACTTATTTAATGAATTTATTAAACCAAAGTCTAAGAATTCTTATTTTTCCTATAGAACCCCATCTTGTTAGATTTTAGCCTATTGATTCATCTTGTCTACCTGAAGTTGAATCTTAATTGTCATGCAATATATTTCTCCTATATTATGTCTCCCATATTAATATATGTCACCAGTAAATATGACCCCAAAATACCCTCATGCTAATCCTGAAGAAGACAAATGCAGCAACCCAGTGTAGACCAATGCAGTTTAATAATCTTTCTAACAGGACAGATAGAAAACAGTAATTCCCAAAACAGTTCCATGGTTATTACATATTGGTGTGGGAAATGTAAACAGGTTCAGGTACTGGGGAGACGGGTCTAGGTAAAATAACTCTAAAAGGAAGTTTGGAGTAGCACTGGGAAGGAAGGTAAGAGAATAGCAAAGATCAACTCTCATTCATTTTGCTTGATGTCAAAAAGAAAAGTAGTGAAATGTCTCAGGTTTTTATTTTACTCCCTAATTTCAGTTCCAATTAAAAATGATTCGGCAGATAGTTTGTTATATGAAGTTTAAAATTTGAACACATGAGAACTATAGACATAAAATTTAGAATACTGAATATCTTGGGTATACAGTACACAAAAGGCTTCAGCTGTACTGGATGATGTTTACCTCTTAAATTGGGTGTTGGGTTCACAGAAGTTGATTATATTATTCTTGATACCTTTTCATAATCTGAAATATTTCATAATTAAAAAATAGTTCAGTAAAAATACATTTAGATTTTTATGTTCAGCGTAGTAGTGTAATTTATTCCATTTCTTGACTCATTCAAGCCCTGTATAAAAAACTAATGGTTATGGAAGTGACTCAACCTGTTGCTCTAAAATTAAGTTTAGCAGATAAGCAAAGTTTATCACTATGTCCTTTCACTCTAACTGCATAATTATGTTGATAAAAATACATTCTTCTCAAATATAAGAACTATAGTAAAGAAATTACATCATTAATACTGTAAAATGAACTCTATTTTTAAAATATAAAATATGAGAGGAATTTTATATAAATTTTCTGACTTTCCAATTATGTAGTTATAAATTTTTATTGACACTTTTTTGAAAAAGTTCGATTTTGCAAAAATTCTATGTTTATGTTGACCATATTGTCAAGAAGATGAGCATGCATTATTTTCTTCATTTTATAATTGTTTAAGTGGGAACAGAGAAGCCAAATGATTTGTTGGCTGTTGCCTGGGAAAATTACAATATACCACCTACTACATGAAGACGTGACACAGTGATCCTGCTTTGAAACTTTTGTCCCTCCTATGAATTATCAAACTGTATGGTTCCATCATGGCACTTAACAGTCATAGGGAGTATATGGGAGCAGTAGAGAGATTCATCTTCTCCCTCCCCTGCCCAAAACACACATAGATCCCATATACTTGAAAAATAAGATCATCTGAGTATGACAATTACTCAAAAAATTAAACAGAATTACCATATGATCCAGCAATTCCACCCATGGGTATATACCCAAAAGAAGTGAAAGCAGGGACTTGAAAAGATATTTGTACAACCCATGTTTACAGCAATATTATTCACAATAGTCAGAAGGTGGAAGCAACCCAAGTGTCCATTGTTGGATGAATGGATAAACAAAATGTGGTATATACACACAATGGAATATTATTCAGCTTTAAAAGGAAGGAAATTCTGACACATGCTACGACATTGGATGAACATTGACATTAATGCTAAGTGAAATAAGCCAGTCACAAGAGGGCAAATATTGTATGATCCCACTTATATGAGGTACCTAGGGTAGTCAAAGTCATCAAGACAGAAAGAATGGTGGTGGCTAGGGGCTAGGGGGAAGGGGAAATGGGGAGTTGGTGTTTAATGGATACAGAGTTTCAGTTGGGGAAGATGAAAAAATTTTGGAGATGGATGGTAGTGATGGTTGCACAACGATGTGAATGTACTTAATGCCAGTGAACTGTATGCCTAAAAATGGTTAAAATGATTATTTTGGTACGTATATTTTACCACAGTAAAAAAAAATCATCTGAGAGTAAATTTGTAAAATAAGTATAATGGCTCAGCAAACAAAATATAAGGCAAAATATCTTCCAAAGATGAGACCTGATCAACAGCATTACCATTGATGAAAGAATGTTCCACATCAAAAGAGATGTTTGTCAGCAAAGAAACTTAAAAAGGAGAAACACAAATCACAGTGTATTTTTACCAC